GAGGTAGAGATGTTTGAGATATATATATCTCGAACTATCTACTTCTTTTGTAAGGTCTGATGGCGTAGTGGGTTAAAGCATACTAGTTATGCCAGCTACTGGAAGGTAGTTGTGCTTTCTGGGTTCGAGTCCCACTGGTGGGTGTTGTCCAAAGATTGTTTATCTTCACTTGTGGTTTATGCAAGTATAGGCTTATAAGCTGGACACGAGTTCTCTCACATTGACAGTGGCTTGACGAAAATTGCAGACTGACCCCTCACTCATCTGGTGCCTTCGGGAGGTAGAGATGTTTGAGATATATATATCTCGAACTATCTACTTCTTTTGTAAGGTCTGATGGCGTAGTGGGTTAAAGCATACTAGTTATGCCAGCTACTGGAAGGTAGTTGTGCTTTCTGGGTTCGAGTCCCACTGGTGGGTGTTGTCCAAAGATTGTTTATCTTCACTTGTGGTTTATGCAAGTATAGGCTTATAAGCTGGACACGAGTTCTCTCACATTGACAGTGGCTTGACGAAAATTGCAGACTGACCCCTCACTCATCTGGTGCCTTCGGGAGGTAGAGATGTTTGAGATATATATATCTCGAACTATCTACTTCTTTTGTAAGGTCTGATGGCGTAGTGGGTTAAAGCATACTAGTTATGCCAGCTACTGGAAGGTAGTTGTGCTTTCTGGGTTCGAGTCCCACTGGTGGGTGTTGTCCAAAGATTGTTTATCTTCACTTGTGGTTTATGCAAGTATAGGCTTATAAGCTGGACACGAGTTCTCTCACATTGACAGTGGCTTGACGAAAATTGCAGACTGACCCCTCACTCATCTGGTGCCTTCGGGAGGTAGAGATGTTTGAGATATATATATCTCGAACTATCTACTTCATTTGTAAGGTCTGATGGCGTAGTGGGTTAAAGCATACTAGTTATGCCAGCTACTGGAAGGTAGTTGTGCTTTCTGGGTTCGAGTCCCACTGGTGGGTGTTGTCCAAAGATTGTTTATCTTCACTTGTGGTTTATGCAAGTATAGGCTTATAAGCTGGACACGAGTTCTCTCACATTGACAGTGGCTTGACGAAAATTGCAGACTGACCCCTCACTCATCTGGTGCCTTCGGGAGGTAGAGATGTTTGAGATATATATATCTCGAACTATCTACTTCTTTTGTAAGGTCTGATGGCGTAGTGGGTTAAAGCATACTAGTTATGCCAGCTACTGGAAGGTAGTTGTGCTTTCTGGGTTCGAGTCCCACTGGTGGGTGTTGTCCAAAGATTGTTTATCTTCACTTGTGGTTTATGCAAGTATAGGCTTATAAGCTGGACACGAGTTCTCTCACATTGACAGTGGCTTGACGAAAATTGCAGACTGACCCCTCACTCATCTGGTGCCTTCGGGAGGTAGAGATGTTTGAGATATATATATCTCGAACTATCTACTTCTTTTGTAAGGTCTGATGGCGTAGTGGGTTAAAGCATACTAGTTATGCCAGCTACTGGAAGGTAGTTGTGCTTTCTGGGTTCGAGTCCCACTGGTGGGTGTTGTCCAAAGATTGTTTATCTTCACTTATGGTTTATGCAAGTATAGGCTTATATATATATATATATATATTAGTATATTTTGGTAGCAGTCTTTCCTGTAGACATATATTATTAAATATGACCGAAAAAGTAAGATTAATAATTCTAACACGAATTTTCTCAATCTTTCGTACATTTCTTTTCACTGTTGGAGGTAAATCAAAAATCAATTCTCCAAAATTCATTTTTATTTCTAGTCTGACGCGACACGAGCGCGTTTCGTAAAACTTATTACATTTTCAAAGACTTTTAGTTTACAAATACACAACTGAATAGAACTTACGCATCTCCGATTTTATATCTACATTTGAGTGAGGTGGATGGGGTGAGGTGGCATTAATAGGGTATTAATTTCATCAACACAAGACAGAACAAGAGGTGGCATTAATAGGGTATTAATTTCATCAACACAAGACAGAACACGAAACAATGGGTATTGAATAGAAGTGTTTGTAGAAAGCCTATTGGTCCATATTTCTTGATGCTTCTATATTGGAGCGGAGTCTTGAGGTGGGTAGAATATAGTTGTGCATTAATTGGCTGTTGATTGCTGGTGTTGACTTCTTGATGTGTAGTGCCTCGCAAACGTCAAGCCGCCTGCTATCGCTGTATCTATCGATGATTTCTGTGTTGTTTACTAGGATTTCTCTGGCGATGGTTTGGTTGTGGGAAGAGATTATATGTTCCTTAATGGAGCCCTTTTGCTTATGCATCGTTAAACGCCTAGAAAGAGATGTTGTTGTCTTGCCCATATACTGGGTTTTTTGGAGCTTACAGTCCCCAAGAGGGCATTTGAAGGCATAGACGACGTTAGTCTCTTTTAAAGCGTTCTGTTTTGTGTCTGGAGAGTTTCTCATGAGTAGGCTGGCCGTTTTTCTGGTTTTATAGTAAATCGTCAGTTGTATCCTCTGATTTTTGTCTGTAGGGATAACGTTTCTATTAACAATATCTTTCAGGACCCTTTCCTCCGTTTTATGAGCTGTGGAAAAGAAGTTCCTGTAAAATAGTCTAATAGGGGGTATAGGTGTTGTGTTATTTGTCTCTTCAGAGGTTGCATGGCGTTTCACTTTCCTTCTTATGATGTCTTCGACGAAACCATTGGAGAAGCCGTTGTTGACTAGGACCTGCCTTACCCTACAGAGTTCTTTGTCGACTTGCTTCCATTCTGAGCTGTGGCTGAGAGCACGGTCGACATATGCGTTAACAACACTCCTCTTGTACCTGTCTGGGCAGTCGCTGTTGGCATTTAGGCACATTCCTATGTTCGTTTCCTTAGTGTAGACTGCAGTGTGGAAACCTCCGCTCTTTTCCATGACTGTTACATCTAGAAAGGGCAGCTTCCCATCCTTTTCCATCTCGTAAGTGAAACGCAGCACGGAACTCTGCTCAAATGCCTCCTTCAGCTCCTGCAGATGTCTGACATCAGGTACCTGTGTAAAAATGTCGTCAACATACCTGCAGTATATGGCCGGTTTCAAGTTCATGTCGACTAAGACTTTTTGCTCGATGGTACCCATGTAGAAGTTTGCAAACAGGACACCTAGCCATGGGTTCTCCCCTAGGTGTCCTGTTTGCAAACTTCTACAATGGTACCATCGAGCAAAAAGTCTTAGTCGACATGAACTTGAAACCGGCCATATACTGCAGGTATGTTGACGACATTTTTACACAGGTACCTGATGTCAGACATCTGCAGGAGCTGAAGGAGGCATTTGAGCAGAGTTCCGTGCTGCGTTTCACTTACGAGATGGAAAAGGATGGGAAGCTGCCCTTTCTAGATGTAACAGTCATGGAAAAGAGCGGAGGTTTCCACACTGCAGTCTACACTAAGAAAACGAACATAGGAATGTGCCTAAATGCCAACAGCGACTGCCCAGACAGGTACAAGAGGAGTGTTGTTAACGCATATGTCGACCGTGCTCTCAGCCACAGCTCAGAATGGAAGCAAGTCGAAGAAGAACTCTGTAGGGTAAGGCAGGTCCTAGTCAACAACGGCTTCTCCAATGGTTTCGTCGAAGACATCATAAGAAGGAAAGTGAAATGCCATGCAACCTCTGAAGAGACAAATAACACAACACCTATATCCCCTATTAGACTATTTTACAGGAACTTCTTTTCCACAGCTCATAAAACGGAGGAAAGGGTCCTGAAAGATATTGTTAATAGAAACGTTATCCCTACAGACAAAAATCAGAGGATACAACTGACGATTTACTATAAAACCAGAAAAACGGCCAGCCTACTCATGAGAAACTCTCCAGACACAAAACAGAACGCTTTAAAAGAGACTAACGTCGTCTATGCCTTCAAATGCCCTCTTGGGGACTGTAAGCTCCAAAAAACCCAGTATATAGGCAAGACAACAACATCTCTTTCTAGGCGTTTAACGATGCATAAGCAAAAGGGCTCCATTAAGGAACATATAATCTCTTCCCACAACCAAACCATCGCCAGAGAAATCCTAGTAAACAACACAGAAATCATCAATAGATACAACGATAGCAGGCGGCTTGACGTTTGCGAGGCACTACACATCAAGAAGTCAACACCAGCAATCAACAGCCAATTAATGCACAACTATATTCTACCCACCTCAAGACTCCGCTCCAATATAGAAGCATCAAGAAATATGGATCAATAGGCATTCTACAAACACTTCTATTCAATACCCATTGTTTCGTGTTCTGTCTTGTGTTGATGAAATAATACCCTATTAATGCCACCTCTTGTTCTGTCTTGTGTTGATGAAATTAATACCCTATTAATGCCACCTCTTGTTCTGTCTTGTGTTGATGAAATTAATACCCTATTAATGCCACCTCACCCCATCCACCTCACTCAAATGTAGATATAAAATCGGAGATGCGTAAGTTCTATTCAGTTGTGTATTTGTAAACTAAAGTCTTTGAAAATATAATAAGTTTTACAAAACGCGCTCGTGTCGCGTCAGACTAGAAATAAAAATGAATTTTGGAGAATTGATCTTTGATTTACCTCCAACAGTGAAAAGAAATGTACGAAAGATTGAGAAAATTCGTGTTAGAATTATTAATCTTACTTTTTCGGTCATATTTAATAATATATATATATATATATATATATATATATATATATATATATATATATATATATATATATATATATATATATATATATATATATATATACATATATATATAAATGTTTGAATCCATAGTTAGATAAATATATATTTGTGCAAATAAAAATTTATCAGGTCAATTTGTTTTGGAAATAGTTAAAACACTAACTTCCTGCAAATCCACAAACAAAAAAGAATGATAACATTTTTATTATGTGAAAATGTACTGGCTTTAAAAATTTGAACAATATATTTTGGTAAAATAATGCAATACCGAGGAATAGAGTATTGTGTCAAATCAAAGCCTAAGATTCACTACTGATTATTTGCAGGTGCAGTGTGTACATCCAGCAGCCCTACAGTCCCCAGGAAGCCCAGGCACTGAAGGTGGCTGCCTGGACGCCCCACCGAGGCCTCACCCTCACCTCCAGCCTCCCGCTCTTCCCTGACAAATTCTCAAAGTATCTATTCACATCATAGTGATGAAACATTAGTTTTTATATTTATACTATAGTTTTGTCTTGAACCCAATGAAGTCAAACCAATTAGCTATGTTAAAGAGACAGTATTGTCATTAATCATCTATTGATAAGCCACAGAGATAAGTATACATTAGACAACAATTTTATGTTAACAATAGTCAACAGTGCAATAGTACTGTGCCATAAACAGACTAACAAAAGATGTGGAAAAATTTGGCATGCACTTTAGTCTTGTAATATTCTAACTATGCTCTCCTCTAAATTCATGTAAACAGAACCAAGGTTGAAAACCTATAGTAATTTGTTAGCTGATTATGTTTGTAGGACTCAGTAACTACTATCATTCGTGGATCAAAATTATTTAGTTTTTCTATAAACGATTTCCATTACATTGGCTGATCTACAGTATTGTCTGGTAAAAAAGCAGTTATATATATTACATTTCTGCACAAATATATCTTGGAATCATCATATCACATATAAATATAAATATATTTTAAATCCCGGATGGGCCCCCAATTCTTACCAATATTGCATAAGCAATGCTTATAGTGCTAGCTTCCCTTTAGTAGAAGTAGCAGCACTTGGCTTTAAATCATTTGTCTGGTGTGAGAGGAAATTAGGTAAAAATATTGTCAAGAAAATAGAAGGGTGATAGATGTGACAGCTGTGGCGGTGGTGGCAGTGGTGGCGGCTGTGGCGGTGGTGGCAGTGGTGGCGGCTGTGGCGGTGGTGGCAGTAGTGGCGACTATGGCGGAGGTGTCGGCGTTGTCGGCTGTGGCGGTGGTGGCAGTGGTGGCGGTGGTGGCAGTGGTGGCGGTGGTGGCAGTGGTGGCGGTGGTGGCAGTGGTGGCGGTGGTGGCAGTGGTGGCGGTGGTGGCAGTGGTGGCGGCTGTGGCGTTGGTGGCAGTGGTGGCGACTATGGCGGAGGTGTCGGCATTGTCGGCTGTGGCGGTGGTGGCAGTGGTGGCGGCTGTGGCGGTGGTGGCAGTGGTGGCGGCTGTGGCGGTGGTGGCAGTGGTGGCGGCTGTGGCGGTGGTGGCAGTGGTGGCGGCTATGGCGGAGGTCTCGGCGTTGTCGGCTGTGGCGGTGGTGGCAGAGGTGGCGGCTATGGCGGAGGTGTCGGCGTTGTCGGCTGTGGCGGAGGTGTCGACTGTGACAGAGGTGTCGGCGTTGTCGGCTGTGGTGGCGGTGGAGTCGGCGGTGGCGGTGGTGTCGGCTGTGACAGTGGTGGCGGCTGTGGCGGTGCTGGCGGTGGTGTCGGCTGTGGCGGTCCTGTCGGCGGAGTTGGCTGTGGTGGTGCTGTCGGCGGTGTTGGCGGCAATGGCGGAGGTGGCGGCGGTGTCGGCTGTGGCGGTTCTGGCGGTGGGATTGGCGGCGGTGTCGGCTGTGACGGTGCTGCCGGCGGTGTTGGCGGTGCTGGCGGTGGTGTCGACTGTGGTGGTGCTGGCAGCGGTGTCGGAAGTGGCGGCGGTGTCGGAGGTGGCCGCGGTGTCGACTGTGGCGGTTGTGTCGACTGTGGCGGTGCTGGCGGCGGTGGCGGTGCTGGCGGTTGTGTCGACTGTGGCGGCGGTAGCGGTGGTGGCGGCTGTGAGGGTGCTGGCGGCAGTGGCGGTGCTGGCGGTTGTGTCGACTGTGGCCGTGGTGGCGGCTGTGGCGGTGGTGGCTGTCTTGGCGGCGGTGCTGGCGGTGCTGGCGGTGGTGGCGGTGCTGGCGGTTGTGTCGACTGTGGCGGCGGTGGCGGTGCTGGAGGTGGTGGCGGTGGTGGCGGCTGTGGCGGTGCTGGCGGAGGTGGCGGCTGTGGCGATGCTGGCGGTGCTGGCGGTGGTGGCGCTGCTGGCGGCGGTGCTGGCGGTGGTGGCGGTTGTGGCGCAGATGGCGGCTGTGGCAATACTGGCGGTTGTGGTGGCTGTGGCGGTGTAATAACCCATATTGTAATATATAGACCGCGCACCCCGCTACTACCACTGAGCCAACCGTGCAATCTTTGTTCTTCCTATGGTAATAACGGATGCTCTACCAGTCATGTAAGATGTTAACACTCGGGCCGTCATACGAAGACTTAACCAGTACACACAGGAGAGAGAGAGAGAGAGAGGGTGGGAGAGAGAGAGAGAGAGAGAGAGAGAGGGAGGGAGGGAGGAGAGAGAGAGAGAGAGAGAGAGAGAGAGAGAGAGAGAGAGAGAGAGAGAGAGAGAGAGAGAGAGAGAGAGAGAGAGAGAGAGAGAGAGAGAGAGAGAGAGAGAGAGGGAGCAAGAGAGAGAGAGAGAGAGAGAGAGAGGGAGGGAGGGAGAGAGAGAGAGAGAGAGAGAGAGAGAGAGAGAGAGAGAGAGAGAGAGAGAGAGAGAGAGAGAGAGAGAGAGAGAGGGAGGGAGGGAGAGAGAGAGAGAGAGAGAGAGAGAGAGAGAGAGAGAGAGAGAGAGAGAGAGAGAGAGAGAGAGAGAGAGAGAGAGAGAGAGAGAGAGAGAGAGAGAGAGAGAGAGAGGGAGGGAAGAGAGAGAGAGAGGGAGGGAGAGAGAGAGAGAGGGAGGGAGAGAGAGAGAGAGAGAGGGAGAGAGAGAGAGAGAAGAGAGAGAGAGAGAGAGAGAGAGAGAGAGGAGAGAGAGAGAGAGAGAGAGAGAGGAGGGGAGGGAGGGAGGGAGGGAGGGGAGGGAGGAGAGAGAGAGGAGAGAGAGAGAGAGGGAGGGAGAGGAGGGAGAGAAGAGAGAGAGAGAGAGAGAGGGAGAGAGAGAGATAGAGAGAGAGAGAGAGAGAGAGAGAGAGAGAGAGAGAGAGAGAGAGAGAGAGAGAGAGAGAGAGAGAGAGAGAGAGAGAGAGAGAGAGAGAGAGAGAGAGAGAGAGAGAGAGAGGCAGAGCGAGAACGAGAACGAGAGCGAGTAAGAGCGAGGGAGAGTGAGACACTAGTGAGGGAGAGTGAGACAGAAAGATAGAGATAATCGTAGTCACAGCCTATCGTATGAGTTACCGAGTAACGCTGCCACCACCCTGAGTTACCGGACAGGAGACCGGAGTGAGAGTCGTAGGTCTTGCAGATGGAATAACCTACCAGGACAGGTGTAGGGGACAATTGAACGGTACAAGGATCCTGGCCTGACACTTGAATAATCCTGACCACTTGGGAACTATAGTGTACACAAGAATAAGGCGGGACACACCCAATACTAACACCTCAACACGGGACGGACGGACGGGGGGAAAAGTAGCACCATTAATACACATTTAATAACACTTAACAATATATGACTTTATTTGAATAATTAAATAAGACACTCCATAACTATATTCCCTACTAGAGGCCATGAGTACTGAAAGAGGTGCTTTAGTACAAGAGAGCCGTACTTATTCGTATGTTGTTCCACAGTTTTCCTGGAGATGATGTTCCCTCCCTGAGTCCACACACACCGTCCTCCTTGGCTGCACCCACTCTACTGTCCCTTCCATGATCTGCTCCTCAGCTGAACATGAGGGTTTTGCATTTGATGTTTAGGGGTTAACCCCTGAAGATTATTCTGACCTCTTCGTGACTTGGTAACCGCTGACCTGTCCTCCTGGTTAACTGGTACCGAGGTGTAACTTTTGCATTGTCTGCCGCCGCCTGACTGACGCCTGTGGTTCGTTCATCCTCCACGTGGCTTGTTCATGCTGTTATGATGTTCATGTTGTACCACTATGTACTGCTCTCTTGTTACAGCGGTGGTGGCGGTGGTGGCGGCTGTGGCGGTGCTGGCGGCTGTGGTGGTGCTGGCGGCTGTGGCGGTGTCGGCTGTGGTGGTACTGGCGGTGGTGGCGGCTGTGGTGGTGCTGGCGGTGGTGGCGGCTGTGGCGGTGTCGGCTGTGGTGGTACTGGCGGTGCTGGCGGTGCTGGCGGTGCTGGCGGCGGTGTCGGCTGTGGTGGTGCTAGTGGCGGTGTCGGCTGTGGTGGTGCTGGCGGCGGTGTCGGCTGTGGTGGTGCTAGTGGCGGTGTCGGCTGTGGTGGTGCTAGTGGCGGTGGCGGCTGTGGTGGTGCTAGTGGCGGTGGCGGCTATGGCGGAGATCGTGGTAGTGGGGGCTGTACTCACCTAGTTGTACTCACCTAGTTGTGTTTGCGGTGGTTGAGCTCTGGCTTTTTGGTCCCGCCTCTTAACTGTCAATCAACTGGTGTACAGATTCCTGAGCGTATTAGGATATATCATATCTATATATGAAACTGTGTATGGAGTCAGCCTCCACCACAACACTACTTAATGCATTTCATTTTTTAACTACCCTTACACTGAAAAAAATCTTTCTAACGTCTCTGTGGCTCATCTGGGTATTAAGTTTCCACCTGTGTCCTCTTGTTTGTGTTCCACCCGTGCTAAAGAGTTTGTCTTTGTCCACCCTGTCAATTCCCCTGAGAATTTTGTAGGTGGTTATCATGTCTCCCCTTACTCTTCTGTTTTCCAGGGTTGTGAGGTTCATCTCCCTTAGCCTTTTCTCATAGCTCATTCCTCTCAGTTCCGGGACCAGTCTGGTGGCATTCCTCTGAATCTTCTCTAACTTCGTCTTGTGTTTAACTAGGTATAGACTCCAGGCTGGAGCTGCATACTCGAGGATTGGTGTTACATAAGTAGTATTCAGGGTCCTGAACGATTCCTTACACAAGTTTCTAAAGGCAGGTCTTATGTTGGCCAGTTGATGTGGGCCTCTGGGAACAGGTTCGGTGTGTTATCGTCCCCAGATCTTTCTCTCTATTTGACTCTTGCAGGATTTCACCTCCCAGATGGTACCTTGTGTTCAGCCTTCTGCTCCCTTCGCCTAATTTCATTACTTTACACTTTCCTGAGTTGAAATTTAGCAGCCATTTTCTAGACCATTCCTCCAGTTTGTCCAGGTCGTATTTTATTCTTCTCATAATTTTTGCATCATCAGCAAACATTTTTTTTTTTTTTTTTTTTTTTTTTTTTTTTTTTTTTTTTTTATTATTATTTTCTACCACATACTAGAAACAGCATGGGTCC